TAACCTTCTTCTCATTACGTAATACGTACCTACTACCTATCGATTTGAAACTTTGTCAGTATGTGAAATCCGGATGTCATACAATAATTTGATACCATCGAACTGATCTGATATTAGAGAATGGTAACATTTTTGAATGGTTTATTAAGTAACAAAACCTTCAATTTTATAGTAATTTGATTCGTTTTGACAAGATTTGTGATCAAAATGATGTTACTTTTAGTTTTAAACTTTTATTTATAACTAGCGACTCACCCTCCGCCCTATTTAAGTTCTAAAGCTTAGTATAGATTTCTCAGAGAAGAGATATTTTCCCGCATTAAAAACTATCCTTTTTGTTTCCCCAAATAACCAGCTATCATCATACCAAATTTCATCAAAATCCCTTCAATAGTTATTTCGTGATGCGGTAACAGACAGACAGATAGACAAAAATTCTAAAAACTATAGATTTGGCCTCTGTATCGATAATAATGACTATTTCAATAATATTTTTCGATAAATATTTAATGTACAGATTCGACTCAGATACAATTTTATTATATGTATAGATTAATTATTGAGACGAAAATTAATTATGAGATATGAGAGAAAATTAATGATGAGATATCTCGTAGTCTCTTCATTAATGGGCAAATTATACCTAATTCTGTTAAATATCTACACTCTGCATAGATTGTATTATAACAACTTATTACATCACTAGGCGACAAGTATCTTAAAATATTGAGCTTGAGCTATAAAACTAAAACATCACTTCGACAATGCTTTGAACTTGTTATCAAAAAATTATACAAGATTTTAATAAAAAATGTTCCCTGCCAATAAGGTTTTTATAAAATTATTTTAAATTATAAAATGATAAAGCAGCATAAATAAATTTATCCTTACTAAAATTTCATATTACAATAAATATACTCGTAATACTTTTGTACTTAGCCTATTATAATTAAAAAATCTGTAGCATTTTTACTCAATTGACCAAAAGCAAGTTCGTTTGGGTAACACTCAGAGAATCCTAGATCGCTATAAGAGAATTTTTTAACGCCTAATTGAATTGCTTTACTGCTATTTTTTAACGAGGAAACTTCAGGTTTTTGTTGAGTCTGAATTGTAAACGTTCGGCCCCAATTAATTTTAAAATAACGCAGCCTACTGGTAAAATATAAACGAGGTACGAAAAAATAATTTATTTTAAGTAAAATATTTTCTAGTACATAGAGTGAATAATGGCGATAGAACATATATAATAATTCGACCATTTTCTTTATTTTTTAATCATTTAATGATTTTCTGTGTTATCTACAAGCGGGACTTCCTTGGACTTATCAAATTTAGAGGACAGTTTATTTTCTAAACAAAGACGATAGCGTGTATGCAGTTTGTGAACTAACGGGCACTAAGCAAAAGTTGTCTCGACATCTGGTGAATCAATTGGGCTGTCGTAACAACTGAAGCGTACAAATGTCTTGCTACTATTTTGTTCTTGTGGATGCGAAACTTCTCTTCAGATGTAGGAGAGTCTTGATCTTATAATACGTTACAATTTCTATTGTAATATTTTTTTAAATAACACTCTTTAAGTTGCGACCATAGTACTGTTAAATTATTTTTTATTGGGAGCTGTGAGATAACTTAACACTTTATTTTGATACTAGCATTGCCCGCGGTTCCGCCCGCGTTCAAATGACCAAAAACCAAATTCTTAGGTTTTACATATTAGTATATATATATATATATATATATATATATATATATATATATATATATTAGTATATATATATATATATATATATATATATATATACATATATATATATATAATATAATATATATATATATATATATATATAGATATATATATATATAATATATATATATTACATATTATACTCTTACTATGCAGTTTTTGTATTTTTTCTCAGAAATGAGATATTTTCCCGTGGTATAAAGTATCCTATATGTTGACCCGGATAACCAGCTATCATCATACCAAATTTCATCAAAATCTGTCCAGTGGTTTTCTCGTGATGCGGTAACAGACATACAGACAGACAAAAATTCTAAAAACTATAGATTCGACCTTTGTATCGATAATAATGTATATTTCAACAAGATTTTCCAAAAAATATTGAATGTACAGATTCGGCTTAGTTACAATTTTATTATATGTATAGATTTACTCCAGATCGCGCAATTGTTTATTAAGTATCTAATATTATAATACTTCAATTAAGGTATACTTTAATACCATCTTTGAGTCCTTTAATAATAAGAATATCATAAATCTTACAAGTTTAAAGCTGTTAATTGCAAAATAATATTCTGCTTCGATTAAAAGGTTCTTGAAATTGTTTTAATAATATTATATTTTCATATTAAGTAATTAGTCTATTATTTACTCTATCATAACAGAGCTGGCATGTTATAATGATAATACATTATTTCTCATAAAGTTTTATACTAGTGAATAAACATTTTGTTTCTTACCTATAATGTGTTTTAACGTTTGGTGTCAATGTTTTTTTACTGATTCGATGCATGATCTGTTCTCAAGTTTTCTTAGAAAATCTATCACTAAAGCGAAAAGCTCGTGGCATCAATGTATCTGGGACATTCATCTTTGAATGGAGGTTATTGATGTTAAAGAATGATGAATTGCTAAGCTCTAGATTATATGGTCTTTTAATCTTGAAGAGATCGATGATATTAAAATGTTGTGAAAGTGTGCATAAACTTACCATTTAAGACCACTCTTTAAGATTTAATTGGCCAATGTGCTTTTTCTTTAGTGCAAATAAAATTTGAATTACAATTTGATTAGTGGAATGATACGAAACTGTTTTAGTATGTACTCGTAACAAAGTTGCAACTCTATAGATTTTTATTTTTTTTTAAACTTAACACTGTTTTCTATGGACACACTGAAAATTCATAACTTAGAATTTAGTTAATGGTGTCGAAATCTCTATTCATATGCTTACATACCTAGACCTAGTTTGAAGTCACGAGAGGCAATTTCCTTACATTAATTATGCGGTAGATGAAGATCCCTAAGACCGACGACCCGCGTAATTTATTTTGCCCCAACAGACTATCTGTACACCGTTAACGAAATAATATCAGTATGTTACTACGACATTTAGGAGAAGATAAATGGATTCTAAAGCCAAGATGACGTGTTAGCTTCGATGGAAATTCCTGAATGTAACAAATTAAACACATAGCGTAAGCTCATGTTTTTATATAAACCGACTAAAATGAATAGTACTAATGTATATACGCATTGTAAATATTGTTGCTTAAGTCCTTAATTATTTATATGTATTATTGTAGATAAAAACAAATCTATCCCCCGGGAACCATTTTCTGGAATAAAATCATTTTTTTATCTATGTGCTATTTTAAATTATAATCTATCTCTGTGCCAAAGTTGTGGCGTAAAAGGGTAAGAAACATCCATCCATCCTCACAAACTTGCACATTTATTGTATTAGTATGGATTTTATCTAAAACTGTTAAAGCCAAATGAATGCATTCTGTATTAAGCTTAAATATTATTTAAGATATTAGCTTAATACTTTAGTATGATGTACTGTCGTACCGTAATCTTGAAAACTTTTTGATTTAAAATTTGACGTTAGTTTAAAAGTTTCTTCAGTAGTAAGGAAAAGTGGTACAAATAGTATTTTAAATACAACAAATGAATTTCAGCGTTCTTGGATTGGATTTATAAAAACGGTACATCGACTGAAATCATGATTGATTTGAATAAAGATTCCTACCCCCGAAAATGTATGTGGTGAATTCTCTTAAAATTTGTATAGGACAAACCTTGAGGTATAGTTTATTTATTAAAGAAGAATTATGGTATGTATTCATAATTGGAAGAGGTATTTTGTAAAAAAAAACAAAATTGTCTTCTTCTTGCTTTGCTTTGCTCTTTTTCGAAGTCGGTTAAAAGATTGTGATAGAAATCTAGTGCAAAACAAATTTAATACGGAAATATGTTTGAGCTCGGGAAGCTTTCAGTTTATGAAATTGGAGTCTAAATTAATAAGCGCATTTAAATGCAAACCATGAAAATAAGCAAATGAGAAGTTTCATTATAACGTAGTTGTTCGAAAAGTTGAATAAGAGATAAATAAAGTTAGTTTTTAGTATTATAATTCTAACAATGAATTTAATATCATAACTTATATATCGATAAATATTTTGTCAAATTTATCTGTTGTTCAAAGTGATCAAAATGTTTTTATTTAATTGATTAAAGCGTTTGACTTATGGGCAAATCATGTGTGTAATTGTACGTCACGTATACTTTATTTTACGTCTCGTAACGGTAACATTTTCATAATGTCATCCATACTATAATATTATAAATGAGAAAGTGTGTTTGTTTGTTTGTTTGTTTGTTTGTTTGTTTGTTTGTCCTACTTTCACGACGAAACGGAGTAACGGATTGGCGTGATTTCTTGTGTAAAGATAGTTGGAGGGCTGGAGGGCGACATAGGCTACTTTTTATCGCGGGAGATCAATTAATTTCCACAGGAAAACACGTTATAATTTAACCCAAAAGCTAAATAATTATATTGAATCTTCAATATTGATATTAGTCTTATATTGTTATGACTTTCAATATTTATTGATGATAAAAAAAAAAACTATTTTACATTGTCCAATAAATGTTTACCATAAGTAATCATGTACATTAAATATGTTTATTTCTCAGTATCTGAAGTCGTTCATGAGTAAATGATTCGTGCTATAATTTATCGCACGCCGAAAAAATTTACCTTTCTTGGAATTTAAATAATGATGTACTAGCCCAATTTGTATTAAAAATTTACGTATAAAATAAACTTTTATTTTTTATAATATTATTTATTTTATATTTATCTTCTATCCTTTATAAGGATTAATTTTTTTTTTAACATTTATAATTATTAATCTTACCTTAAATACTTAAAGCTAAATTCAAAATCAAAAGTTCCACTTACCATTAGGACACGTGAACAGGTCACCCTGGAAAAGAGAAAGGACATAAAAATTATTTTTCGTTGCCAAAACTTATATTTATTCTATAAATAAAAGGGATATGTGTTTTCTACCTGCTTTTTAATTTGTAGTAACTTTCGGTAATATTTAAGATTCAAAGGCAAGATTTACGAGTTTATTTTTAGCCTAGGTACTCTTAACAAAACTTTACTTTTATTGTATTATATTTGTACATTGTAAATCTTTTAGTAGGTGAGAGCTTTTGTGCTTAGCTTTTAGACACAATTTTAATTTTATTACTATGTTAATATTAATTATAAGTATATACGCTATTCCTTAAATCGGCATGTTAGTCGTGATATCTAGCATTTGGAGCGAGTTGCCAAACAGGGAAAGTGAGATCGAGGCCGCCCGCCACCCGTGACCGCATTCAGATATATTGAAACTAACAAATGTTACGGAACCAACTAATTGGATTGAATGTATAATGCTATTGTTTTAGGACTACTTCGATTATAACAAGTTTTTAATAGTTTGTACGTAACGTTGGTTAGTTGTCGTGCGTGCAGATTATTGGAAACTGGTAAGCTGGAGTATGGTCATTTCCCGGGGGAGAACCGTTTGATGGCGGACGCGGTGGGGCTGCGGTACCTCTCTGGTGTAGCAGAGTTGACTGTGGAGCAGCCCCATCGGTATGGTGGTCAGCCGTTGGCAGACCTGCCGCCGGGGCGCCGTAGTAGTTATGCGCAAAAAAAAAAAAAAAAAAAAAAAAAAAATGGTCATTTAAATTTTTATATTAATTTAAATTACCTTCATATAAGGACTTGTAGAGAAATGAAATATTGAAGTAACGTATTATGTAATGTAAGTCATTGTAAATGAGAAAGTTAATTCTACGGAGAGATATTCACTACGCTCAAAATTAAGTTTGGTTAAAAGATGTATGACGTAGTCTACACTACATTAGCCTTAAGATGAAAATTGTTTGGATGTATGTTTTGTTATATAATGTTTATCTATTAATTACGACCTCGTGAACATAACTGTTGACCACGTTATAAGTTACTAAAGTGGGCGTGCCCATTAGGAGCGCGGTTGCTTTAGAAACGAAGTGAAGCGGGTTCAAACCCAGGGCACCTTTTTTTCAGGCTTTCATGCATAAATCTCATTCTGAATTTGATTGTAATTTTTTTATTTATATAGTGAATGTAAACATTATATGGAATTATGAAAATAAGAAAACCCAAATAGCTATCAAAAGACATGTGAAGTCCGCTAACCTGCGTTTGGCTAGTGTGGTGAACTATGTACATATTATGTATATCTTTATGGACAATGGCGCGATGGATTTTTGCGTAGAGTTAAAGAAATATATTATTAAATTATTATTTACATTACGCATAATAACTTAAATAAAGGTCCAATCCTTAATTGCTTCATATTATGATTTCTTTAAGACTCACAGTAAAGGACAGGAAAATATGAATTTAAAGTCTGACGGATACATTTGAATTAATTAAGAATGAAAATATATATATATATATATATATATATATATATATATATATATATATATATATATATATATATATAAGTTCATAAAGGAGTTCGTTGTAATAAATTATGATAAAATTTTAAATTTTTAAACCGTGAAAAATTTGAGCAGGATCGTGTAATCATATCATTTTTAATTTTTGCCCTGTGTAATTTCGCTACGATAAATTTAACATTTTTAATTACATGGGTAATTCCATCCAGACTGTTAAACTATGTGGCTTAACAATAGTTCAGTTCTCATTAAAAATGTCGACGTGTAATAAAACGTTATGGCTTTTTGTCGTCACTTTAATTTAATCCAATAAATGTCCTTGCTAATATTACGGATTCGCGTTGATTCGTTTCACGCAGCAATAGGGTGAATAGCCGGCATAATTTTTTTGTATAAGGACGGCTTATGGGCCACATATTCTGTTTTATACTGGTAAATTAAGGGATTCCCACGATACTATAAAAAGTTAAGGAAGGACGCGCACCTTTTATGGGTCTGCCTTAGCAAGGAAAGATCACTTGACTTACCTATATAAAGTTAAAATTATATTTAATTCAATTATTACTTACTTTTTTAAATGATGTTATTTTCCTATAAAAAGTTTCAAATCTAGGATAGATGACTCCCCTAAATCTTGGAATTGTGGTTTGTTTTAATTATTATACAGTTATAGTCCTCGTGTTCTTAACGAAAGGAATTTAGAAATGTATGACGTTAACAAAAGCAATCAGATATCAATGGAGAAGTAATTTTCAAGAAAACATGAGATTTCGTAACATATAGACGCTTAAAACATAAAAATATGTCAAAATTCAATTATTGCGATAGACAATAACAAATATCTTGTTTATATTTCAAAATTCTGTGAATTTTCACAAATAATTTTAGTTATTATAGAATGACGTTGGTATGTTTATTTTTATAATAAAGGTATTACTCGGGCACGCTTTAAATATAACATACATTAAAGATAGGATTTATAACGGTGAGTTAGACACAAGGGGAATCTGCCTAATGTGAGCCCTCCCCTAAATTATGATGTAGCCTGTCTACAAAATAAGCTACTAAGCAACGGTAGGTACTATTGGCTTATTTGCAATGGGATATTTTACATGACTCAGGAGATTTATAAATACGAAACGAACAAATAGAAAAAACTATACATATATATTGTATTATTAACAGTAAAAATATAATTTTATATGTAACAAAATAGGCAGGATGAATAAATTTTCAAGCTACATAATTTTAATTTCGTCCGCCAGAGGATATGTTATTATAAATACTAGCCATGCGCCCTCGTTTAACTTTCCTTGTTTTATTTATATTATATTGTATGACTCACACAAATTCTATTTCCGACCTCCGGGAACATTTGCAGTTTATAAAGTATCAGTTACTCTTAGCAAAATCCTCTATTCGCCAGTGAAAGTTCCGTTAAAATTGATCAAGCCGAAAAAAGCAGGTAGGTAGATAATTTTTTGAACGGTTTTTTGGATGGTATCGTTCATATTCACATGACCTTATTATGGAATATGGAAAATAACTACTGAATACGTAAAAATCTTTCATCAATTCTGTGAAAATGGCAGATTAACGTTTCAATTTTATTTATAAGTATAGGTCGGATTTGTATTTGAAGTAAAAATATACCTACTTAAAGCAAAGCTTAAGGAAATATACCTACCAAATCAATATGTAGCTTTAAATAAAATGATATTACTACGAAATATAAGCGTATAAATCTGAATAAATATGAATGTAACATAATTTCTCCCATGTAATCATTTTCAATTTGGTTCGCAAGCAACCCTATTGAATTATATTTGAATTTTGCATACGACATTTTCGAATAATGCAAATGAAATTTGGTATAAATGGAAAGATATGAACTAGAATTTGCAATATAATAGAATATAGATAGATAGTAAGTGCTTTGTATTACTCGTTTTTTTTTAGTTTTGGAGAAAGTTATAAGTTATAAGGATTAAAAAAAATTATAGCTTTATTCACTTATATTTTTTTTCTGTTTTTCACCAGTTTTAACATATTTCATCGTATTCTTAACATAGTAATGTCTCATTGAAAATATTTATTGGATGAAAATCAAACTCCCAAATTTTGCTAAATATACAGCGTGTTAAGTTCTTCAGTGCGATGAAGGCGGGCTTTATCATAATAATTTAGTAAATAATAAGAGACGTGAACTATCTGTTAAAATATGCTAAAATCTCAATGAACGCAAATATGTACTAAAGGTGTGCGTTAGTGTTCAAAAGCATTTTATAAATTACTTTGGGGAAGTCCCAGGGATACCGGTGGAAGTTTAGGGTTACAGCGAATAATTTGAACATAGTTTTGGTTGCTGTGTGCAAAACTTTCGTACTTATTTTAATATGTTGAAGTGAAATTCAAAATTCGCGTGTAATATAAATATTTTTAATTAACATTTTTAATTTGAATCTTATTATGTTTTTTTTGTATGAAATTACAAGCTTGTGCTTGCTTTCAAAACATTTAAGAATTTTGTATAAAAAGGAAATAGGGTGAACGGCGTACTTACATCAGACAATGTGGGCGAGACGAATGACAGAAGTGCGACGACACCTAGTGCCGCACGACACCTTATCAGCATCGTGACTCTGTAAAGTAAGAAAAACTCATAAGTCATTGAGAAAACTGATTCAATTTCTAAATTCACATTAAAAATTATCTAATTAGAGTAGACAAAATAGTTGACTAAATTTAAACTTTCGCGGTAACTTTTTAATAATAGAAATTCTCAAAAGACCTTGTAGATGTTACAACACTGGACTAAATACTAAGCTAAAACCTTTAAAATGGCATAGAAAATACATAAATTATAATGCTTAATTAAGTAATTATCCGCTAATGACATATTAAAAGAGGTTTAATTAAAAATAATTTACTCATAGCTTACGAAATAATGATTCATATTAATATGTATTTAGAACTATATTATAATATGCCCGCGGCTCCGCCCGCGTTCAGATGACCAAAAACGAAATTCTCAAGTTTTACATATTAGTATACTCTTACATTGCAGTTTTTGTATTTTTTCTCAGAAATGAGATATTTTCCCGCGGTAAAAAGTATCCTATATGTTGACTCGGATAACCAGCTACCTTCATACCGAATTCAAAATCCCTCCAGTAGGTTTTCCGTGATACGGTAACAGACAGACAGACAAAAATTCTAAAAACTATAGATTTGGCCTCTGTATCGATAATAATGTCTATTTCAATAAGATTTTCCAAAAAATATTTAATGTACATTCGGCTTATTTAGAATTTTATTATAAGTATAGAATAGCTCTATATTTTGAATGATAGATAGAGTATACGAATTTTAAATAGTGTTAATATATTCTACGAAATTAATAAATAATAAACTGTAGTTGTCAGGTACACATGTTACCTTAAACCCCAATTAAGGTTACATAAAGATTACAGACCTGCAAGCAATTTGTTTCTATACGAAGTTCAATAGACGCGCAGTAAACCTACCATTTTGGGTTTCGTAATTAAGTGGATTTCTATCGAATAGCCTATTTTGTGAATCTAAATTTATTTCTACGATCTATTTACTAACACATATTTATTATACATATATGTAGTGGATACATATACATTCATACATACATACTGTGTTTTATTAATTTTATTTAAAATATGCTGTTTGGAGATCGAAACCATATCTCTAGTTCAAATTTAATTATACAAATATAATATTATACATAAAAATAATTGATTAGAGTACCGTAAAATTTTCAACTATTTTAAGGAAAAAAAATATATAATAAAATTTCATATTTCTAAATAAGATTCTAAATATTTAATCATTTTCTTCCTTAGAATATAAGTACAAGAGATATTTTATTACATATACTTTGTTAACTTAAAGATTTTCATTATGTCGGAAAATCGTATGAAGTTAAAGTTAAGTTGTTTAGGGATCTACATAATTTTCTAAGAACATAACATTTACCTTTGTTAATCTTTATATAACAAGCTATTAATCGCTCTTTTAAAACAATCGCACGAAGGGTTTAGGAAAATTTGTGCTTAACATAAAATATTTTGCGAGTGTTTTGCAGTCACGTACGTTACTAATGGGCTTTTAAAGAAGCAAAATTCATTAGGTGGCTTACCCAAGTTGGAACGAAGGAGGTTTCTTAATGTGCTATTGTATTTGGGTCTTGGACTGTTGCGTGTCTCTCGAATATTTAATAGCTATATCTGGTCAATTATAATTTGCTATTATTGTATTAGTTTGACAATGACAAGGGTGGCTTAGATTTATTTAGCACTAGCATTGCCCGCGGCTCCGCGTTCTAATGACCATAAACCAAATTCTTACGTTTTACATATTAGTATACACAGCTTACAGCGGTAACAGACAGACAGACAGACAAAAATTCTAAAAACTCGGCCTCTGTATCGATAATAATGTTTATTTCAATAAGATTTTCCAAAAAATATTTAATGTACAGATTCGGCTTAGTTACAATTTGATTATATGTATAGATAAATTATGTCAGCACTCTATGAAATAATTTAATGTCTACTTTTTCTTAATTATATAGAAATTTATGTTATAAGAAGATTTTTTTGTACAGAGTTAACTCAAAAACTGTTAGATACGTACACACTTACATAAATTTATGTATTGCATGCACTATTTGCTCTAGCTAATATCTATTGAACACGTAACTTATTTGAACCGTTTGAGTAAAAACGACTGGGTAAGTTTTTCTGTCACATTTTAGTCGGAGTATACTTGTTACATCACGTTCCATCCGCTGTGCAGTTTACAAACGCTAGGTAGCTTGTGTAATCGTCACTCAGATGATATTGCATGCTTTAAAGCTAGTTGTTAACTATACTGCTTGAATTAAAACATATATTTCTATGACTTCGTATACACTCAATAAAAAGAATTATTGTAAGTAATAATTTTATTCATACTTTTATGAACAGTTATGTATTTATTCATTTTTTGCAATACTAATATATTGCCCATAGGATAATTATTGTGGAAATACAGGAAGCTCGCTATCAAGCAAACGTCAAACTTGGATAAATGATAATTACAACTGTAGTTATTCTCACACTTCGTACAATATTTTGCAAGAAAGGAAGTTATGTATCAGAAAATATTGATAAACGGATCTTGCGATATAATTAAGTATTATTATTTAATAGAAGTTTTAATTGCCAATAATTCACGTTTAAAATATGTTCTAACTCTTTTAAGAATCCTTACCCAGTATAAAACTGGGTAAGAATTCTTATACTATTTGAATTAAGGTTTATTTTTGATTATCAGATAAACATTATCCATAACAAACATAAAATGTAACAAAAATGAATAAATAAATTATAAATAATTCTCTCTTTTGTAGTCAGAGTTGGTAATTGATGGACAACTTTCATTTGATTATTGAAATATCAGTCACAATAAAACTTTACTCATGCTTCATATTTTAAATTTCTTCTCAAAAGTTCTGTTTTATTACTAAATTATTCTTTTGATTTATTCATAATTAATTTTATCGCTTTGCGCTACAGTGAACCCCAAGAAATGTTATTGCGAATCTTTTTCATCTAAATCGGAAATATAATTGTATATTGTCTAGAAATAACGGACTTATATTATTAGCTATATTCCCCATACAAACTTTCATCCCCATTTTCACCCCCTTAAGGGATGATTTCCGGAATAAAAAGTATCCTATGTCCTTCCCAGGGTCTCAAACTATCTTCTTACCAAATTTCATCTAAATCGGTTTAGTAAATTCAGAGATTACCCCCACAAAATCACAAACTCACAAGCTCACAAACTTATTTACTCTTTATAATATTAGTATAGATAAGATATATACTTATCTATTTATGAATAATCTAATAGGTAAGTAATATATATTTATTAAAAAAAATTAACAATTATAATTTATTTATTAAACATTTTTTTAAACTTATTATTATGCAGGAAGTATAATGTAGAAGGTTTCTCTTTGAAAAAAACGATTATCAAGGAACAAATATAATAACTAGAGTTCGTCCAGTGGTCGAAAGTCGACCATATTTATTATTTACCTATCTATATAAAAACTGTTTCCAAATTTTTTTATTAATAAAATGAGCTTTAGATCGTCCATAGCTACTAAACAAAAAGGAAATCGGCTCACAAACAGATGAACTGTTTTGTCTTTGCCTATTTATATATCCATACTAATATTATAAATGTGAGTGTGTTTGTTTGTTTGTCCATCTTTCACGTTGAAACGGATCGACGGATTGGCGTGATTTTTTGTGTGGAGATAGTTGGGAGGGCTGGAGAGTGATATAGGCTACTTTTTACCGCGGGAGATTACCTAATTCACACGGGAAAACACGTTATAATACAATTCAAAAAAAAATCAGAATTACTTGAAACTTGATATTAATGCTCTTCAATAAATAATACTTTCTTAGATTTACGCGAATGTTTGACATTATTAAATAAAACTATCTTTTCCGATTATTTCGCGGATTTATTTTGATTTTTGGTTCCCGACGTTTCGAATGCTTTACAGCATCCATGGTCACGGGAGAGACATTTTTCATTTGTAAAAGTATATATTAATAGTGTTGCTTAGTAAGTTGTTTTTAAATAATAGCAAACTAAATTAAAATTATAATCCTTAATTAATTTTAACTTTTTTAAATTACACATTGAACAATTATATGGCTTAAATAATTAATACTATATTTTATGTTTTTCTTTATGGTTATAAATATAATAATGGCAACACTAAATATAGATTACTAATTAATATTTTTAAAATTGTAATAATTATAAAAATAATAGCAAAAATTAAATAAATAATTTTCCATATTCAATTATAATTAAAATTATAAAAATGTTTGAAGTTAAAATATTGTAATGTAATTGGTGCAATGTTCATTTTGTTGATTGTGGGTAGGCTGTCTGTAACAACTATATCTGTAAGACATGTAACACCTCAGTCTCTCTCGTGACCATGGATGCTGTAAAGCATTCGAAACGTCGGGAACCAAAAATCAAAATAAATCCGCGAAATAATCCGAAAAGATAGTTTTATTTAATAATCTCTTCAATAAAATTAAATAAATACATATTTTATCGTTTTTCGAAATTCATCCTATAAGGGGTAAAATAGGGGATGAAAGGTTGTATGAAACCACTTTCTATTAGAGATTGTTTTGTAATTTTAGCGCGAGCGAAGCCGTGGGTTCTACTAGTTGATTATAACTTTAAAATTTTCTCTTTAGAATTTTTATATTTAAAATTAACCATAACAATTAGTTCAGTATAATTAAAGTAGTTGTAGTTAAGTTTGAACTTAATTGTAGCTTCATGAAACAGTGTTGAAGCGCACTATTAGTAGACAATAACAGCAATTCTCAATTCTCATAGACCGTGAGAAGAGGCCACGAGGGCATAAGAAAGACATGACGAATCACGAGGAAGTTCCTATATCATAACTTTTGTTTCCTACATCGAAAAACTTTTCAATGTAATTTTAGTATAATTGTGATACAATACTGTTTGTAAAATAGATTTACAATCAACTTAAACTTTAAGGTACAT